GAAAATACTATTTCAGTCATTCTACTTCAAAATGTCAAGTTTAATTCAAAGCGTTACTTGCAACTGAATGTTTTTTTCTTTGTAATTATTTGTGAAATACTTGTTTTTATATATTATATATTTATTTTATATGTTTAAATTACTTTAGTATTTATTTACTATTGTTTTAGATATTTGTTTGTTAATACATTTATTATTATTGTTATAAAAAAATATGCTTTTATTCAGCAAGGAAGTTAAATTAATAAAAAGTGATTGTAAAGAAAAAGATCCCCCAGAAAAAGATCTCTATTTTGAACACCGTTCTTTTAAACGTCTTATTCATCAAAGAATCCTGAAAAAAAGTATCGCAGGTTCCTGAAAAATATTTTAACAAATTAAAAAAATCAGCATAATAGAATGATTTCTGAATGATGTAACACTGAAGACCAGAGTAATGATGCTGAAAATTCAGCTTTGATCACAAAAATAAATGACATTTTAAAGTATATAAAAATAGAAATTCAGTATGTTAAATTGTAATAATATTTCACAATATTGCTATTTTTACTGTATTTTTAATCAAGTAAATGCAGCCTTAATGAACAGAAGAGACTTCTTTCAAAAACATACAAAACTCATACTGATCCCAAACTTTTGAACGATAGTGTATATATTAAATATCCACCAAACTCTGATCTATAACTTATTTAATGTTGTTTTAATCCTGATAATTCATAGATCTATATAGAGATTTATTTGATGGTGTTTTAATGAAGTTTCTGTTGAGAGCTTGAACAGATATGGTCAAGTACAAGCATTGAATCCCTGCAGAAGACTTGGAAAAATTCACATTTTTTAAAGGTTTTTAAACAAGGACAGAGTGTAACTTTTCATGTTATTTTCCTGTCAAATTTCTATCTCACGCACAAGCATTGAATCCCTGCAGAAGACTTGGAAAAATTCACATTTTTTAAAGGTTTTTAAAACCTGTAACTTTTCATGTTATTTTCCTGTCAAATTTCTATCTCACGCTCATCATCATCATCATCAGTTGTATGTTGTGCTGCTCATCTTGACCTCTAGATGTCCCTAGAGCGCACCTGGAGTTTCATCAGGTTAAATCCGCCTGATACTTTCCGCAATCTTGTAAATCTGTTTCTCTTTTGAAAGATTAAAGTCAGATGAGTCAAGCCCTTCAGAAGCCCATCGAGCAGATAAAGAGGGAATTGTGTCTCTTTCTGAGATGCAGCGAGACTCAGAGACTAATTGCATGACTCAGAGTCTAGTATACTCAAGAACTGTGTGGGCAAATCCAGGTTGATGAAGCTTACAAGACAATCAAAATATCCTGCCTGATGTTACAAAACATCTGTCCACTGGGTGGTCCAGGCGACTTGTGTGACTAATGGGAAAATACGTGATAGAGAGCAGGGTCAAACAGTCTGAAATGTGCATTGTTTTCTCATTTATTGTAAAATGTTTAGTTACTGTTTATATGATCAGGGAAGCCATATGATTTAGAATTTGAATAGAAAGATTTGAGATGTTATAAAAAGCATCTGTAAGCAAAAAAAGTCAGACCGTCTACTAGGTCAAGCAACTCTGGCCACTCTGGATTTACTGCAGCAGAGGTTGCCGTTCGGTCAGAGATCAGAGAGCTGGCTTTCAGGGAGGGTCAGTAAGAGTAACTAGTTGGCGCTGACAGGCAGCTGGCAAAGACCATGCTGAGGAATGATCAATGGCTATAAAAATTGAACATATCAGCTTCATTTACATGACTACACTGGTTATATACTGTTTAAAAGTTTTGGGTAAGATTGTTTTTTGAAAGAAAATAATAGTTTTATTCAACAGGGATGCATTAAATTGATCAAAAGTGACAGTAAAGACATTTATAACGATGCAAACGATTTATTTCAAATAAATGCTGTTCTTTTGAACTTTCTATTCATCAGAGTATCCTGAATAAACAAAATATCACGGTTTCCACAAAAAAAAAAAAAAAATGAAGCAGCTATACTGTTTTTAACATTGATAATAATCAGAAATGTTTCTTGAGCAGCAAATCAGCATATTAGAGTGATTTCTGAAGATCATGTGACGCTGAAGACTGGAGTAATGATGCTGAAAATTCAGCTTTGATCACAGAAATAAATTACAGTTTACAATATATTCACATAGAAAACAGCTATTTTAAATCGTATTTAAGACTTAGTGAACATAAGAGCATTTTTCAATATATATAAAATATTTATTTTATTTAGAGGTTTATATGCATGGGGACACATACTTTTAGACTGTTTTATTGTTTTACTCCAATAGACTTATTTCTGCGCAAAGCAAGAAATGCACTTATTATCTACGTTTACCCAGATGCATCTAACCTTACTCTAGTCTCATATTAGCATATCATCAGTTTTCCACGGTAGCATGCATATAGTAGCTCAATTAAGCATGCTTTTACCCAATTTCAAAATAAATGTGTCTGTGAGGACCAGAATTAGATTCGGTATTGAAGGAAAGGTGTTTGAAAGCCGTGACCCAGTTCTCACATCGTCGAGAATATTACAGTGCAGAAAGGTGAAGTCATGCGAATCAAGCACCAAGCAGTTCATTAAAAAAAGGAAGCAGCATAAAAACCTAAACAGTAAGTTCGGCGAGCGTGGTAATGATGGAGCAGGGACAGGCTGAAGCTTGCCTCCGTCTGCCTTTGTTGAACTGTACTGGGGCTTGACAGCAGGAGGAAGTTTGGAGAAAAACTCGAGCTGAATGTTTAATGACAGCATGGAATCTGTTATTCGGAGGAGTGACCTCGAGTTAAACCTTGAGAGCCAGAGGAATGTCCCAAACAATTATTTGGCTATATTGAACGCACACCAGAGAAGAAGAACAAAATCGATTGTGATTTGATTTCTGTTTGTTTGGATGTGTGAATAATGAGACTGACTTTCTCCAGGACAAAAGCTGTGGTTCTCTGTTATGAAACCGGCAGAAAGGCCAAAGGTAAACGCGAGCTGCAATCGCACCAGATGTCTGAAGCCGGACCCTTCAGTCAAGGGTGACTAAAGTTTCCGAGAAACATCCATCTAGAAGTTCAATTTGACGACTTTTTTTCTTGGAGGTTTAAGCATGATGTCACACCTCTGGCATGTTTTTTTTTTAATTATTATTGTTGCAGGGGTTAATTGTCCTCTGTAGAAAACCCTGAATCATTTTTGTGCTTGAACAGGCCTGTTCTGACACGATTATTCTGGCTGCCTCTCTTTCAGCACGTGGGATGCGGTGCGCAAGGAGCTCGAAAGCAAATGCCTTCGGGATGCGAATCTCCGAGACGGATCGACGCAGCCGAAATATGTAACCGAGGATCAATTATGAGTTGCCCAACGTGTCTCGGCTGCACATACTTTCAGGAGTCTGTGGCGAGATGAGAGGGAATCCGTGAATTGCACGTGGCTCCCGGAGCGTCTGACCTCTGTTGCCCGACGGAAGCCGTTTCCATGGCAACCCCCCACTCACCCACCCGCGGTCCGTCCCGCTGCTGATTGTGAATTCCTGCAAGGTCAGAAAGAGAGAGACTCGTCTGTGCACTTGGTGAAGCAAAATGTGTTGCCATTCTTATAAGAAACTGCTGTTTTGTGCAGTGATTTAAAAGACTAGTTTACTCACCCACAGGCCATCCAAGAAGTAGATGAGTTTGTTTCTTCATCAGATTTGGAGAAATGTAGCATTGCATCAGTGTCTCAGCAATGGATGCTCTGCAGTGAATGGGTGCCGTCAGAATGAGAGTCCAAACAGCTGATAAAAACATCACAATAATCCACACCACTCCAGTCCATCAGTGTGTTTATAAGAAACAAATCCATTAAGACATATTTATTTTCAAACCATTACTTCTGACTAAAATATGAGTCCATAATCCACAATATTGCTTTCTCCACTGAAAGGCATCTCGTCTGAATCAGGAGAGAAATATATGCACCGATTAAACACCATTTACAAACCAAAATAGCTCTAAACATTGATGTGAGAGGACGTTAGAAGATGGACTTTTTCACTGGAGGAAGCATTATTATAGATTATGGACTATTTTCATGTTACTGATGAAGAAACAAACTCATCCACATCTTGGATGGCCTGAGGGTGAGTAAACTGTCAGCAACTTAAAATTTTTGGGTGAACTATTCCATTAAAATTGCATTTCTTCCCAATTTGTTATTGAACCTATAGTATGCTTAACCATTAAAACTGAACAAATTGATTGAGCTCGCCTCTTAAAACAATACATATAAATGAGGTAGTAAAGAGATTTGCTTTTGTCTGCAGCCAAATTTGAGCTTTTCAAGTTTGAAAGCAACAGTAGCTACTACACTCTAAAAAATGCTGGGTTAAATACAACCCAGTGCTGGGTAAAATAGGGACAAACCCAGCAATTGGGTTGTTTTGACCCAGCGGTTGGGTTACTACCCAGAAGGTTGGGTTAAACATTTAACCCAACCGCTGGGTCAAAACAACCCAATTGCTGGGTTTGTCCCTATTTTACCCATGCACTGGGTTGTATTTAACCCAGCATTTTTTAGAGTGTATAACATTTGAAACTTAAAATAGATAACTAAGTAATATTTAAAATAACTGACGGTATGATGCTGGAGAAAACAGTGTTTTAGTAACTGTTCCTTAACACACTCACAGCATGATAATCACCGGATGCATAACAGCCCTTTAGAAATAAACATATGCGTTTATTTCCACATTTAGCTACTTATGCAGCCAAAAGCATGTTTGCCGTTTTTAGTATAAGAAGTTAGTTTTGCACTTTCTTGTGTTCTTACATTTACATAATCAGCAAAAGCATTAACCGCGTAATTAATGTGTTTGCGTTTCTTATTTCTAGAACTTTTCATTTATTTTAAATTTACCAATAAAGATCCATTGACTAACAATTGACTCACGTCTCTCCTCCCCCTTTCTCCCCCTTCCTCTCTCTCTCTCTGAAGCTCTCTCTCTCTATTATCGCTCATCTCGACCGTGTTTCTCCTCCTGATCTCCGCGCACACAATCTCCGCTAAACCAAGAAATAAAACACACGCGCTCTCTCTCTCTCTTATTCAACAGACGCTCCGTTTCCAGCGCCGGGAATAAAGCTTCATCCACGTTTGGACTCTTTGTCTCGCAGTTGTCCGCTTTTATTTTATTTGCCCCTCTCTGTGAAGGTTCAAGGTGTTTAATATGATGTTCATGTATGTTCTGATGCGCGCTGGCTTTGGATTATTCAGCGTCGCTCTGATCGCCTTTGTCCAGCAGCCAGCCGGCGCTTCTGCCAGCAGAAACCCGCAAGGTAAGTTCCCCTTTCACCCTCACCATGATATGTACCTTTTGGCTGAGGAATGACTTGGGGAAAAATAACTGTTTGATGATTCGTGCTCAGTAAGAACAACTTATGGGACGCAGTTTTCCCCAAACTGTGCTGAAGTAGACTTAAACAGGTATTTTTTAGCATCTTTGAACTGTTTGTGCAGGTGTGTTTATTATAACGTGTGGAGAATTTCGTGATAGATTTATTTTCTCATTGACAGCAATAACGATGCACCAAACTGTAAAATATGCCGCACTTTGACCACTTTTGCTAGATGTTCAAGAAACCAGTCCAGTTAATGTTACACAGCCTGTCTGTTACATTAGAGGCAATACGTTTTTGCTCATTGCACATGCATGGTGTCAAATGTTTGGGGGGCGGGGGGGGGGAATGCAGATATTTAGCAATTAGGAGGTGTGTCAACCACTGGAAAAGTCTCTAGAATGGCTCTAAAATGAAATGATTTAGAGTTCAGTTTCATTTAGGGTCCCATTTCACTGAAATGCCGTATTAGAACCATTTTTTGTTCCCCAAAGAACCTTTTAATGAACAGTTCTTATAAAACCAATTTTTCTTAATATTAAGAACATTTTAATATTCCAAAGAACCTTTTTCCACTGTGAAGAACCTTTTGTGCAATGTAAAGGATCCATGGATGTTAAAGGTTCTTCATGGAATCACAGATGCCAGTAAAGGACCTTTATTTTTAAGAGTGTAGAATAGATCATTCTAGAGTCCAGAGGGCAGGGCCTGCTTGCAACAAACTTCTAAAGCTAAGATAACTCTTAGTTATAATTATAAACAAATGACCACTAAAGGTTTTCTTAACTTGAGGGGTTTGTCGCAATCGTCTGCAGATCCCTCTCAAGCACCTGTAGAATAAAGAGGTTTAGAGTTCGCAGGGTCGTGCACCACTGGTGTGATCTAGTATCCAACTGATGCATCTCTGGAGTTATACATTACATAATTTCTGACTGTTGCATTGAAAGCATTTCATGAAGGCATAAAGATGCTGAATCAGATTACTTAAGATGTCCAAATATGTTCCAAAACTCCTACAATTTAAATTCCAGGCACTTTTATTTCCCCTGCGCATCTAAAATGTAAAAAAATATATGTATATTGTTTGATATTGATTTGATTAATTATAACTTACATAGGAATTACATTAATTACAGACAGCAATGTGATATGCTTGTTTTGGGCAGGTCAATAAAGTAATGTAGTCAGTACATCAACAGTTGGCTGTCAGAACTGAATACATCCTTAAAAATAAATGTTTTTTGATGACATCAGTTCCATGTAGAATATTTAACATCCATGGAATCTTTCTATTGGAAAAGAAGATTATTAAAATGTTCTTCACAATATTTAAAAATAAATGTTCCAAAATGGTGACGCCATACAAGAACCATTTTTGGTTCCTCAAAGAACCTGTCAGTGAACATTTCTTAAAAGAACCATTTTTTTTTCTTAGCAAGAAGAACATTTTGATAATCTAAAGAACCTTTTTCCACTATAAAGAACCTTTTGTGCAATGGAAAGATTCCATGGATGTTATAGGCTCTTCATGGAAACATAGATGCCAGTGAAGAAACTTTATTTTTAAGATGGTTCTTTTAAGAACTGTTCATTGAAAGGTTCTTTGTGGAACCAAAAATGGTTCTTCATAAAGGTTCCAAAAGGGGCTTTTCGAAGTGATGCCATAGAAGAACCATTTTTGGTTCCCCAAAGAACCTTTCAATGAACAGTTCTTAAAAGAACTATAAAGAACCTGTTGTGCAATGTAAAGCTTCCATGGATGATAAAGGTTCTTCATGGAACCATCAACGCCAATAAAGAACCTTTATTTTTAGGGGCATTCTATGGCATTGCTGTACAAACCCTTTTGGAACTTTTATTTTTTAAAGTGATGGAATCTTTCCATTGCACTACAGGTTAATTTAAAGGAAAAATGTCTGTAGATTATTAAAATATTCTTCACAAAAATGGTTCTTCTAGGGCATCGCTGTGCAAACTCCCTTTATTTTTGAGAGTGTAGAACCAAGCCCAGCATCGATTGGGTGGAAGAGGCTGAAGAACAGCTCTGAAACAAAGTGTGTTTAGGGTCTTCGGGGGCTCTAGAACACCTTCAGAATGAAGACATCTCGAGTCCAGAGGGGCTGAGCTCTAGATCCCAGCTGAGCCCTCATTCACCTCCATTCCCCATCACTGACCTGCACCTGTTTATCACCGCGGGACGGTCAGGTCAGGTGTGTGTGTGTGTGTGTGTTTGAGATGATGTTGCAGGTTTGGGGTCGTTTTTGAAAGTTGTTCTGCTTTTTGAGTCTTGTGCTCCAGATGTGATGGCAGAGCTTTTGAGTTTGTGGTAATGCACTGAAATCTGTCGTAATGGAGAGAGAAAATTACAGGAGTTTCAAAGTCGTTTCTTTGGCTATCTTTTTTTTTTTGCCCTCCTTTTTATCATTGCCTATTTTGTGCTCTGTCGCATTTATTTACTTTTAATTTCATTGGGTGGAAGAGGCTGAAGAACAGCTCTGAAACAAAGTGTGTTTAGGGTCTTCGGGGGCTCTAGAACGCCTTCAGAATGAAGACATCTCGAGTCCAGAGGGGCTGAGCTCTAGATCCCAGCTGAGCCCTCATTCACCTCCATTCCCCATCACTCACCGACATGCTGTCCGTACAAACAAACGTCAACAAATGGCAACTCTCGGGGCTCGATCCATGCTGACCACATGTTGCTCAGTTCCATATGGCCGAGAGCTGGAAAGCAGTCTCATGGAGGTCATTTAAAGGTATTTAGCACTGTAAAGTTAAGTATTTGACGTTCACCTGTGACTCTGAAAGCGTTCACTGAACCTCTGGGTATTTAGCAAGCTTTTGCTTGAGGGTGGGAGGAGTAGATGTTACGTTTTGTTTCGTTTGGAGGTCACGGCTAATGGATTGTTACGCAAGCATGATGCAGTGATGTCGGCGGTCACTCGTGTACGTCTGGTATGTGTGCATTTACGTTTGGTGAAGTCGTTTCTTTGGCTTTTTTTTTTTTTGCCCTCCTTTTTATCATTGCCTATTTTGTGCTCTGTCACATTTATTTACTTTTAATTTCTTTTTTTTTTCTTCATTGTATTCTTTCTTTTTTCTTCATTGTATTCTTTCTTTTTTCTTTCTTAGTTTGCTATTTCTTTTGCTTTTTGTCTTTTTCTGCAACTGTTCATTCTTTCTTGCTTGCTTTCTTTCTTTGCTTTTTGCTTTCATGCTTTTTTGCTCTTTTTGCTTTCTTTCACTTTCTTTTGCTCTTTCTTTCACTTTCTTTTGCTCTTTCTTTTGCTCTCTCACTTTCTGTCTCTCTTTTGCTCTTTCTTTCTTTTCTTCTGTTTCTTGCTCTTTATTTCTCTTTCTTTTGCTCTTTCTCACTTTCTGTCTCTCTTTTTTTGCTCTTTCTTTCCTTTCTTCTGTTTTTTTTGCTCTTTCTTTCACTTTGACTTTCAGCTGGTCTTTCATTCTCTCCTGTCATTTTTATTCTTCGGTTCTCTTGTTTGTTTGTTTTATTCTTTATTTTAATGTTATTTCTTTTTATTGTTGCACAGTCATTCTTGTCTCTCATTTTTATTTGTTGGTTCTGTTTGTTCATTCTTTCTTAATTTGTTCGTTTGCTGTTGCTCTCTTTCATTCTTCCATTCTTTTTCATTCGTTTGCAGTCTTTTCCTTATTCCTCTTTATGTTGCTCTGTCATACTTTCATTCTGTCTTCATTCATTATTTGCGTAATTAGTTAGCGTTAGTTAATGCATTACGTTTGTTGCAGTATTTATGAATCTTTGTTCATTAAAATACTGTTCATTGTTAGTTCATGGTAGCTCAGGTCCATTAATTAATATTAACAGATTTTAATTTAATAATGTGTTAATAAATGTTGCAAAGATTAACTTAATTGGTTCATGTTAACTAATGTAGTAAGGTAATGTTAACAAATGGAAAGATGTTCCTTCTTTTTTTCATTCAGTGTTTCTTTGTTTTCTTTCCATCTTAATTAGAGTTGAATTTGTCTGTCTGGACGGGAGCGTTTTGTCTGTCAAACGCATCAGTAGCATATAAAACAGACAGTGAGTGATTAAAGGGTGCCGTTCGTCTGGTCAGTGTTTATTAAACGCAGATGTTCGCCATTAGCATCTTTGTCCTTTATCAACGTCACCATAATTGCAGGTTACCAGCACCGTGAAATGATCATAATTCATTATAATAATCATAATTCCAAGTAAATGGGATAAGGAGGCTTTTAAAAACCCATGTGTAATAAATGACTTGGCGAGAAAAAAAAAACCTGATGTTCATGAGGTACAGAAGGAGAACGGCTCGGTTTTGCTTTTTGCTCTCCTGGCCCAGAGCTGCAGGCTAACAGCGCCAAGGCAACCGGCGGTGAGGATGTGACATGCCGCAGCGGTGTGTGTGTGTTGATGTAACCTCTAGTCCATCTCCCCGTTCACCCCGAGGCAAAACCCCTGCCGGGCAGACCCTGCTGGACAACTTCAGTGTGGGAAATACACATTTCCCTTGAATAGCAGGAGCCCGAGAAGGAGGGGAGAACAGCGGAGGCCTGCCGGGGAGGGGTGGGGGGTTTGTTTGCTTTGTGTTGCCTTTCACTCAATGAAGTTGGAGTATTCCTTTGTGAGTCTGGAGCAATGGCCTTGTCAGAGGTGGGGACAGATGATCTCTCAGCGCTTCGATTTAGAGAATATCTGGAATAGAACATCCTTGTAGGAAAGAAAAATTGTGATCGAGATCTCTTTAATATCTATATTGCTGCTTGTAGCCTGTCATGAGATTAAATGGAGACTTCTGCTTGAGTTTCATGCTTCTCAGATGTTCCTCTTGAGGAAAAAGACCCCATATGCATCTCCTCAAGATTTTAGAGGGTAGTTTAATGTCTCAACTGCGCTCAAATCTGCTAAAATTCTCCCAAAACAAATAATAATCTGAGCATGC